TTTTTTTTTTTTTTCTATATTCTTTCTTCTGTAGAGCATCCGTGCTGAAAGCGTCAATCAAATCCAGAAACCAAACCCTGAAACAGCTAAATCAGGTGCTCAACATCAGCTTCCTATTGAACGCTGGAGCAGACAGCGGGACGCTCGCACCCGTTCAGGAGAAACCGATCCGATGTCACGCCGCCACCAGCTGGATCACGTTGCTTCAGAAAGACTCTTTGAATTTGAACTGCATCCTGGATAATGGAAGTTCTTATATTCTGGAACAAGGATGGACGTTAAACGTCACCGCATCTTCGCTCTGCAACTCCACCAAGGGGCAAAGCCGCTCTGCGCATTATTTGTTCCCTTTCCAGAATCTTCAGCCAGGGGAGAAACTGGAGATTTCCCTGCCACTGGCTACCGAAGGAGAATCGTCGTTGCCTTGTCTCGTTTCCTTCTCTCTGACTTTCTCACTCGCAGGTCTCCTCGGAGGAGAGGCGGCGGCATCGCAGCCCGACGGTGGTCTTGTCAGTTTACCGTTGAACACACTGCTGGTGGATTACTTGCATGCTCTGCGGATGGTCGGTCCGGCCGAAAGAAACGCTACACCTCAACGCTACGACGTCACCGCTGCGGACACCATCCGAGCATTTTTGAAATGGCGCTGCGGCGGAGGAAGCGATGCGGGGAGCGCGCGGCATTCTACGAGCGTTAAGGTGTCGTCGCAGTTAGTGAGGGACATGTTGAAACCTTCGGAGGGGCGCCCCGACGAGACGCTTCCAAGCGTGTGCGTCGCACTGCTGGACCGCCTCCTCTGTGAGGGCCACGGAGGCGTCAAGATGGAAGGAGACAAGATGGCCATCAACAGCTCAGTGGTCCATGCTCGAGCACCAAACGGTCGCACAGTAAAGCTGACGGCAAAAGAGGTCACATGCACTTTTTGTTGTTTTCATAGTGCAACCCCCCTTTTTATACTAATTCTTTGCAAGAATTGATTCCAAAAAAATAGTAATAGCTCCAGTCGTATTGGCAACAGTGTGATGGAGTTGTGGCTTTCTTGTACAGATTAAGCTAGCGGAGGGCAGTGCGGTGGAGCAGGAGGAGTCCCTGGCCATCGTGGAGGTTCAGGTTGAGAGCTCCTCATTGGAAGCAGTGTGTGGAATGCATCATGCAATCCTGCGGAGAGTCCAGGTTACAAGCGCCCTCTTGGATTTGGATGCAGTGAAGTTGAAATACATTAAATTTAAGACAGAAATATTGGTCTGAACATAAAATGTTTGGTCAACTTTTACGTCGAGAGATGAGACAATTTATCTTAATTCTATTCTGCTTTTTGTCTCTTGTGCTTTG